TTCCAGATCCTTTCAAAGTGCATGAACTTATAAACACACTAAGGAACCCTACAGCAAAGATGTAAGCAAACTGTGCCTCCCAGAAAAGAAATGGACTGAACCTAATTTGGAAGCAACTTATGTCAACACTGGAAGATAATCAACGTACTTTAGCAGTAGTTAAGGTCAACAGTAAAGGACATTTCCAAACCAGTGTAGCTCCTCTAAGGCAATCATTTATTAATGAAGGTAACATTCCTATCCTTTAATATTTTTAAGTTTTCATCTTCTAAGTTAAATAAATAATGCACAAGGGAGAAACTGAAAATGAACCACTTATTTTGTTCATCAAAAATTAATTAGTATTATTTTCTCTCTCTGTTCTCTTGCTGACTGAGCTTGCTACCCTGAAAGTCAGAAATTAAATCAACACCATGGATGGATTAATCCATAGCCCATCTTAAATTTCTCACCTGGTCCTCATGTTAACACCTTAACATGAGGATTAAATTTCACTGTGGATACTGGAGAGAACCTTCAAACTGTAAAGTATTCTCACAGGCAAAATTCTAAAATAATATTTTATTTCCTTGTCAATATTCCAATATTAATATTGCCTTTTAACTCAACTTGTCGTAAAAGACTAGAAATGAATGAACAGGCTCACAGTGATTCCTATAGATGGTGATGTCTGGTCTGTTTAACTTTGGAAATGCATCAGTGACCATCACTTAGAAACATGCAAAGCTTCCTAGAAGGTGGTCCACACAACATCAACTTTAAACTGAAAATTCCTGAGCTTTGCATCAGAACAAAGAACCCAAAGGCACAGTGTTATGGGTCTAGGTAATCAACAACCAATCCAGCTGCTTTATATGCTCTTAAATACCCCATTTTTCAGTTTGCCTTCTTAATTACAAATACTATCTACAAGATTTAGTAGGCCCGCAAAGCAGACGTAGTACACTAAAACACTTTTACAATACAGTAGACATAAATTTAGAGAGATTTTCAAATACTAGATAGCAAATTCTGATGAGGAAACTTAGTTTGATGAACAAGACTAGTTTTAGACACAATTTTGGCTTCCAATGTAAAGTCCAAAGCCTCTTTTTAGTTTTAGAATTTGATTTCTACTTTTTCAGCTTTTCTACAAGTCCATGTTTCACAATCAGCAGGTCTTTCTCCACTGAAAGCTACCTTACTTCCCATTAGACAATTACGTGTGTGTGTGTGTGTGTGTGTGTGTGTGTGTGTGTGTGTGTGTGTGTGTGATCAGATACAAGAATCTTGCCAAGTCTCTTAGTGGAAAAGTAAAGAATTTAGATACGTAGACATTTCCACTTATCCATCTATTGGTTCATTAATCCAAGGTAAATTACCAGTAAGTGTCAAGAATTGAGATGAAAAAATGAGTTTGGTATATGGTACAACATATTCATAAGAAAAATTATCCAAAACTTAAAATATTAAGAACTAGCATATTATCTCAAAGACAGGGCATCATTTAACCCTATCTGAGCATCATTAAATTCTCTAGGAGAATGTGTCCATGTTGGTGCTATCTGTGTTAATTAATGGATCGGATTCTATGAAGTTACACGTTAACCAATAGATCTATTGGTATACAGAGGTCAGGAGTGCTGAGAAACATTCTAAAACATAGAACCCTCCTATGGTAATTCTCTGGCCTAGAAAGTCAATAGTACTGGTATTGAGAAACTCTGTTCCAAAAGATCAAAGCTGCTTGCTCGGGAAGTGAGGAGGCCTTTGTCCTGCATGGTTGAGAGCAGCTTTAGTGGTTTCTGCCTGGGGGTGGGAGGGTGGCAGTGAGTAAAGGCTGAGAGAGAAAAGTTTTCAAGTGTAATAGTTAAGAATGGTAAACACAGTTATTGCTCAAGAGGGAAGGCAAGTGGAAATTTCGATAACTTGTGGTAGCAAAGTATTTCAATGTACTTGAATCAAATGAAAATTCCAGTTTCCATTTAGAAGTATGATGCCTTAGATACGACAACCTAAGCCACTGTAGCATGGTATGATTTTATCATTTCAGTATCTTAAAGGGGAAGAAAAAGAGTTCTATTTTATAATTGTAAACATTTAGCAAAGGAAAATAATGAAGTTTCTTAACGTCTAAAGCAAGTTCTCAAAATTAAATGTGTAACAGAAATCTTTTAAGTGACGGTACTATCAGTTGTTTACTAAAGCCTTGCTGTATTTCTAAATGTAAATATCCGAATTGTCCACGCTAGTTTATTGACCACAGTCCACTATTGAATAAGACACTTGTTGAGTCACACTTTCTGCTCTAGGAGTGACTGGATGGCTATCCACTGTGTACAGCAGAAAGGTTCGCCCTGGCTACTTCAGCTGGAGAAATGAGAGGCTCACAGCCAGCGAGGGCGTAAACGTGAAGTCATTACTATCGGGACCGTCTTCCTTTGTATTTTTAAGGAGAGTTGAGGGCTGTTTTGTTGCATGAGAGAAAGTCAAAGCACCCTGTGCTCAATGAGTTCCTTTGCTGGAACCCAGCAGAGCCTGTGGCAGGCACAAGGAAGACTTCTGTCTGCACTAGCTGGGAAGTAGATGCCACAGATTCAGAGTGCAGTTCTCTTTTCCTTGGCCACAGGACAGTTTCCAGCTGCTACTGGCACTGCCTTATTTTTGTAAACGGGATCAGCCAAGGCCACTGCACACGGGAAAGTGATTTCCTGACATCAGTTCTCCGTTAGAATGCGGCAAAACCCATGCTGGATGTTATCACACAGATTATAAAGGATTTTATGAGCTTGTGTAGGAAACTGACCATCATTTGTGGCTTAAGTTTCATAATTTATGTCTCCTGTTCTAAACAAACTACAGTTGTATTAGGTTGAAATACACATGGATTGTTGGTTGATTTTATGAGACTTCCTTCTGAAATTGTTCCACTAGTAGGTTTCAGTTTTCATCATTTTCTAGATACACATCTGGATGTGAATCCAAATATGTATATTAATTATAATGACAGAAATGTCATTTTATAAGTTAAAAAAGTCTTTTAAAGTTTATTATTTAGAAAGAGACACTTGCAAATAAAGAACATTTCACAACTGAAATGAACCGGACCCCAAGTCTATACATCTCAGTGAACTTCTATAGTTAGACAGTCATACTGAAGCTGTGAAGCTAGCTCCACATTGGCTTTTGCCATTTCACCATCAAACACGTTTTTAGGCACTTATCACCACCACCAACAAAAACTCCATGACAAAGTTAGAACTGGAAAAACAATTACCTTTATATCCTTTCTCATAACTAATGTCCGTCACCTGCATCCAGTCCTCTGCATCGCCTAGTACTAAGCCTTTCTTGATCTCTTTTCTGCATGTTATATTGTACATTGCTAAAACAAGATGCTTTAACAATGGTTGGCTAGTTAATGAGTCTCTATCGTAACCTTACTGATCTGTTCTACCAACAGGTTTATATAGCAAAGTGTTTTGTTTTTTTCCCCTAACTCCTAAACAATTTCTTGAAGGATGTCTGCTCCTAAAGGGGAAATCATTTTTCTTTTCATAAATTGAGGAAAGGGGAGCTATAATGCGGTTTTGGAACAGAACATTGAATGACCTCTTCACTAGTCAAGGATTAATAAAAAGGAATCTTTTGTTCTACCTATTGCAAGTAAACATTTTCATTCACATGTAGTCTTATCATTATTTTTTTTCTGACGAATTTTCAACTTTATTTGATTCTAGCCAAATGATGAAACTGACCTTGGCTTACCAAGGACGTCCTTCAACATTCTCTCTCAGGCTGGAAGAGTGGAAGGGGGTTGAGCTACTCTTCTTAGAGCTATTTAATTCCCCTTTAGAGTGCTCTGAATCCATGTAAGGAGATGACTCAAAAACTCTTCGATTTGTGAAGAAACTCCGCGGAGTAACCTAGAAAAACTCATGTCAGCTACTGGGTAAGGTGAGCATCGATCCAGCCAGGTACTTACTGTTCATGGCCTCTGAGAACACTTTGTTTTTTAATTGAGTGAAAGCATTTTTCCATGTGAAAATAGAAAGTATCTAATAAGAATTCAGTATCTTAAGGCAGTTACATTTTCAATAAATTGACTAAGTAATGTATGTATGTATGTATGTATGCTGGAAACTTGTCATTGATACTTATTTAAAATGCTATTTTGTATTCTTTCAGTACAGGAATACTGGGCAACCATTTTGCTGTATTTAAGTAAATAAAAATTAGCCTTCGGGAAATATGTAAGAACTATAACCGTGCACATATTTAAAGCTCTTGCCTTGGAGTTCCAATGTAACCACAGTTATAGTTTCAGGAATTTTTCTTTTGTAATTTTCTGGTATCTTAGAGAAACTCTAAAAAATTGTAAAACAACTATTTAATTGGGCACATTACTATTTTTCCTTTTTTTCCCCCCAAGCTTCATTCCTAATCTTTAAAAGAATGAATCCAGAAAACTGGGCGTAAGATACAACAGATGTCTTCCCCTGCAGTTAAATGTTCCCTTCATCCCAGCCTAGAGATGAAGGCGGGTTGCTGTTTTAAAATAGGAGTTGGGGACTTCATAAATGTACTTCCTACAGTTACAGTTCAGTACTGTATGGTCTATTCACTGGATAATGTCACAGGTGACTACAGAATTGGGACTAATAGAGCAAGGAACCATAGAACAGTTATCCATATGATATACTGATGTCAGTTTCACAGGATTCAAACTTTGTCGTTTCAGTATTTTCAGAAAATAAAACTACTAAATAAAACCTAAGAAACAAAAAATACAAACCACTGACACATTTTGTAAATGCTTTCCCCCCCAAGTGTATATACTACTTTCAAAGAAATGTTTCCAACATGTTTTCAAAAAGAAAAAAATAAAGTGCATGCTGTGCCTGGTCCTGAGAAACAAAGGTAAAAGCTACCTTCCTTGTCTGGAGGATGCACACAGCATCGGAACACAATGGCCACGGGCAAGCAGTAATTACGTACCAAGCACGGGAGGTTTACTGAAAGACAGCAGAAGGCGTTTTATATTCCCTTAAACTCTTTATCCTTTCACAAAAGTTTCAATGCATGAATGAATCCTTAGGGACAAGGAGAATGTGTTGGAGAGCTTCTCAAGGGAAAGAGATTACCATGGATTTGCTTTACCCAAGTGGCAAGGAACAGGGCCTTCCGGTATGGAAAAGAACACAGCTTAGGGAGAGATGATGGGGTGGTTCGTCTCCAGAGGATAACTGGGGGAAGCAGTGTGGGAAAACTCGCAGAGTAGGTGGAGGCACATTAGGAAGAGAATGTCCCAAATGATCGCAATTGCTGTACTGACTGAATGGCAGCAACTATGAGATTCTGAGTGTTTGCTGGGTTTATTTTCGTCAGACGCTTTTTTAAAAAATCGAACGGCCCCAGGAGATGTGGAGAAAGTTACCTTTTTAATATTATCCCTAACACTGTCTAGCAAACACATTCTCTCTCAATTTGATACTTAAATTTAACCGTCAGATTAATAGCTATTTCCGATGAGTTTCTACATCTTAGATAACTTTTTATTGCTTTAAGGAATAAATCAAAGGCATTGCAGGCTAGTGGGAACAGGTGTTAGGAACATTGAACTAGCTTAGCTGCGTTATCCCACTTCTGAACGCAAGGATCAAGTCAGTACCCCACCCCACCCACACCCCTGCCATCTTCCTCTTCCAGCTGACTTGGTAGGCCCCTCTCAACCACAACCCTCGATTTTACACAGTCTCTTTTGAGCTGTGTGCCAGGATGCAGCCATGAACTAATGGGCTCCTGGGAAAGATTTTTTGCATTATTGATAGTAAAGTTTCTCCTGTACCCACATCTTAAAGAAGAAACAACACCCTGTAAGACAGGTTTACAACATATCATGGTTAAATAAAGCAATTGGCATTAGATTGTAATATATTTACAAATCACAATAGGGTAAAAGTAGTTCTTAACTATTTTGGATACGAAGGGTAAAGTATTAAACTGTCCTCTACTTTTTAAAGTATGTGTGTGTGTGTATATATACAACAAACCTTAATTTTTTATAGCAGGGGTGCATCTACTTTAATTCTCTTCAGTACATGGTAGGGACTTTAGTAATTAAAACTGTCTTCAACAAGCCAAAGTTTAAGCCAATCATGTTCCAAGTGAGAGGGACTTGTGAGCCGTTTTAAAAAACCTGACAGGGTTATCATTATACAAACCGCAGAATGTGAAATTGGGCAAAACCTTCAACGCCAGTCATCTAAGAAGACCGGTTTCCGAACTAAAGGCAACTCAAAACAGTGGCGATCATTAAAAGGCCATGTGAGTTGAAGTAAGGAAAACCTAGGAATTAGTGCAAGAGGTGAGGTCTGCACAGACGGTTCAAAGCTTGTGCCCAAAAGGGGGGTTAGCTAAGGGCGACGGGAGGACTCGGAAGCGATCGGTGGCAGTGACGGGCCAGGGGACACGCAGGCTGGAGGGCGACCGCGGCCTCCGGGCCGGCCTGCGGCAGGCAGGACGCTCCACCGGGCTCAGCTTTCCCCCCGCGGTGAAAAGCAGGCGGGGAGCCCGGGGCTGAGAGGCGCCGGCGGGAGGAGGCGGGAGCCCGGGGCCGCTAGCGGCTCCTCCCCCGGCGCCTCCGCTATCTGGGTCAGACGCGCAGGCCGCGGCGCCGGACCTTGGGAGCCGCGGACTCCGGGGCTCCAGTCGGCTCTCCCTTCCCGGCTCGTCCGCCCGCGGGCCCCGCTCCCGCCGGCTCCGGTCACAGAGAAGCCCTCACCGCGAAGCCAGGTACGTACCCAGCCGGGGAGGGGGCGGCCAGCCTGGCTGGCTCCGTCGGTCCCGGGGGCGTGCGGAAGAAGGCGGGGGCACTTCCGGCGGCGGCTTCACTTCCGGGTCGTGGCCCGGCGCCCGCTGACCCGGCGGCGGCGGAGGACCGGCTTGGTGCAATCTTGGCCGAACCGGTGTCGCGGAGCGGTGGCAGCGGGACCCACCCCCCTGGACCAGGCGACCCCCGGAGCAGCGGACACCGCGCCTGTGCATCTGCCCCAGCCTCGCGCCAACCTTGTGTTCTCTCGGCGTGCTTCCCGCACTAAAAAAAAAAAAAAAAAAAATTGAATTCTCTGTTTTCTGCAGACATGGAAACCAGCCTAACCGCATTACTAACTTTTGCAAATAAACTAAATTCTAAGGGGTCCCAAATTTAATTTATAAATAAGGAGAGGTTTGGAAATCTAATGAATTTTGAGTGTTAGAATTCAATTGGAAAGTACTGGGTTTTCTGCATCGCTGTACATGAGTTTTTTTTTTTTTTTTTTTTACCCCCCAAGGGGTCAGAACGTTTCCTTTGGAAACTTGAAGCGGATTTGTAACCTATCATGTTTCTTGACTTTCTTAGTAGTTTTTCCTTTCTCTGGTTTGTTGGTGACAGCATTTTATGTCTTCCCCCAATTCTAAGGATCAGCCGATGAGTTGGTTATGAACGCAACTTATAAACATTCTAATTATATGGAGACATAATTCTAATATCCAGAGATGAAAACCAGAACATAAACATGAAGTTTTTCTTTTAAAATAATTTCATATCCTAGTTTACTTGGAGGTCAACATTTTATCGTTTCTCTAGCATTGTGTCACTAGGAGGTTCTCAGCTAATAACCATTGATCACGCGTTGTATTAATTTTAGGTAATTTATACAAACATAATGTCCATCATTTCCCATCATGAGTGATTTACAAATGGGAGTTTGTAAAATAATTTTTTTTGCATCTGAAATGCAAATTTCGCATCTTAAAATGAGTTGTAAGATCTGCTCAATAAATTTTAATTGTTTTCTCCATAATCGGTGCAAGAATATACTTCTATAAACGAAAGTACAAAAACAATATAATTTTATACTACCTTTTAAATTACACTGTAGGCAAGCACAGATTCTTATTTACAACTTTGATACTTCCCTCTCACAACAGTGTCATTTTTCAGATTATTGGCACAAAAACACACACACCGGGATTTATTTCTTGCTTGTACCTAACTATTTTTGTCCAGTGTTACTTTTCCAATTACCAACGTAGAAGCACCTTTGTAGCATAAATTCAAGCACACTGACGGATATGTTTCTAACGGTGAGATTATTAACCAAATGCCGCCTCTGTTCCTTCTAGTTCTCTGTTGACTTTCATAGTTCTGATGTCATATTTCACCTCTGAACATCTATCTCTGCTTCCGTCAGCATTCTCCTCTGCGTCCTTGCTTGATGCTTTCTGATTCCGCATGCAGCTAGATGTCTCCAGGATTTAGGAAACAGGAACCCAGGGGTAACCTTGCTCACTTCTTTAGTCAGATAACCCTCTGGGTAAATGACAGCAGTTCGTTTGTCTGAAAAATAATAGTGGCATTACTGTTTTGAACTCCTTCAAAGAGATAATTTGAAACCTGTGAGGTACCTTTAAAAAAAAAAAAGGTAAAAGTTTGGCTGTTTCTCATGTGTTGAAACCTGAGTCTGTCTTGGGGATAAAGTCTTTTTCTTCATCAGACTTTCACGTCTGTTTATTAACTTGTTAAATGAAAAAAAAAGCTTTCAGATGTGTGTGTGTTTCATAATGTAAAGTTCAAGGCTGGCCTGGCAGGACTGCGCCAAAGAACTAAGTCATAATAGGAAAATTCCTTGTGCTAGGCTTTAAGATGGACATGTGGACGTTCTTTGTTAGTGTGTGGATGTGGAGGCTGGGGGGGGGGGGGCGGGGAAAGAATGAGTGATGTTGCAGATCTGATGTTAGACCTCATGAATGCTAAACAACAGCTGTACTATTGAACTGTTTCCTACCCCAGTATATTTATTCATCAGTAAAAAACAGAAACAAATTTTAGCCTCAAGGTGATTAGGTTTGATGCATGATTTACCTGTAATATAAATGTATATCATAGGTACATAGTAGCTTTTTTATTTCTATTGCTTTTTTATGGTAATCTTTTGAGGTAATTTAGTTTTATGATATAATGTTTGATGGAGCTAAACAATAGTAATTATCAACAGCCTCACCTGTTACGAGTCCTTAGATTCTGCTATTGCTGTGTCTCCTGGATGAGTAGGAGTGAGCATTTAGTTCCATTTACAGTTCCTTATATCAATTAGTTCAGAGGATATTTGGGTTGAAAAGAGAGAAAGAAAAGAAAGGAAAAATTGGTAAATGCTCTGCCATCAGACAGGCCAGATTAAGCACCAAGATCATCTCTGGAATTGGTTAAGAGAGGCATTTTAAACTAGTCTCTTAGAGGTCATAATCTGAGGTAATTTCTGAAAGACCTTTTTGTGTGTGTTTGATGAGATAGAGCATCTAACCTGATAGTAACTGTTGTCCATGCATATACTATAATATAATAGGACTCTAATTTTGGTTTTGTTTTGTTTTTTTAACTTTTATTTAGTGTGTGTGTGTGTGTGTGTGTGTGTGTGTGTGTGTGTGTGTGTGTGTGTGTGTGTGTGCAGACACTTGAAGAAGTTGTTTCTTTCTCTTCGCCAAGGGGGCCTTGGGGATTGAACTCAGGTCATTGGACATCAAGGCAAGCACCCTTACCTACTGATCCATCTCAACTATAATAGGAATCTGAAAAGAAACTTCCTTTTAAGCAGCTTCTTGGAAATAGATTCCTACTATCCCCCACCCCCTTCCATGGGTCATTTAAAGCATTATGTCTAGTTGGCCATGTAGTGTACAGGAAACAATAGTACCTTGCTAGACTATGTAGAATATAGGGCTCTAGTCATAGGATGCAAGATTTCGGGTATACAGCCTAATTCGGGATTGATGTCTGTCTAGTATTCTGCCCTGGCATTCACTCCCGGCTGTTTTGGACAAGAAGCAATCAAAGAGAACGTTCATAGACTACTACATCTACCCACTTAACCTGAATTTCTGCTCATGTAATCTGCCTTTTCTTTCCTCACTCTGAAGGAGTGGTCTGCGTTCCCGTTAAAGGTCAACCTGGTGCACTTGCACTGGAGACCATCTCCTTTGTTCGTGGTTGTACAGTTCTCTACTGTTTCTTCTACTTCACCAACTTCGCTTTTCAGTGGGATCTTTCATATTGGAAAACAAAGTTTGTCTTGATCTTTTGGCGCCGTTTCTCTATGCAACTGCCATCCTTTCTCCTTGTTTGTTATTTGTATTTACCCATCCCTTAGTCCAGGGTTCATTCCTTCCTTTGGACTCAGTGAATGTCTTTAGTATTCCATTTTTACTCCCTTACCGCCCCCCCACACACACACACACACGCACTGGTTTATCTATATCTTTATGGACTTTGGACTTTTCCATGCTTTGGACTGTTGCCCCGCCTCTTGCTTTCTAGGTCTGTTATGAGCCTATTGCTGTCACTTTGGCTTTAATAGCAATTGTTTTATAGGTAAATATTAAAATGAGAACACTGACTTTCACGCTCGCCCCTCTTGCCACCGCTGGTATGCGGCGTCCTTTGTGCACGCTAGCTGTACGTGTTTTGCTTCTGCTTGAAGACCTTCCATGGCATTTCTTTTGGCGCCTGTCACTGGGTAATAATAGTCTCAGCTTTTGTTGAACCACAGCAACAAGAGCCCTACCCCTTTTCACCCTTGTGTTGGAAGATATTTCACTGGATATAGACATTTCAGTGGGCAGGGGTCCCGCCACCCAAGCATGGCGAAGATGTCATTTCGTCGTTGTCATGTTTAAATGGCTCCTGAGGATACAGGCAGTGGTAACCCTTCTCCTTCTCCCCTCTCTCCGCTCCTCCCTCCTCCTGACTCTCTTCCTCGCTGACTTTTATGGTTGTTTTTCTTACTCTGTTTGACTCAGTTGACTTTGTTTAATTTGGGGATTGTTTGTTTGTTCACCTTTTCCCCTCCTACTGTCCTGTCAGTCTTAGACTGTTCATGACGCCCACTGGCCTGCGTCTCTGTTTTTCCTCACTGTGCTTCATTTAGGGATGATTTTTTTTTTCCAAGACAGGGTTTCTCTGTGTAGCTTTGCGCCTTTCCTGGAACTCAATTTGGAGACCAGGCTGGCCTCGAACTCACAGAGATCCGCCTGCCTCTGCCTCCCAAGTGCTAGGATTAAAGGTGTGTGCCACCACCGCCCGGCTAGGGATGATTTTTATGGCTAAGTCTTCCAGTGCACTGCTTTCTGTTGTTGCATGGAGTTGTTTTCACTGTCGATTTCATTCCATGAAACTTTTTTTCAGAGATTTTATTTTTTCATTCCTAGAAATTCTAGTCTGGCTTAAAGCTTTCCTTTTTCTCTCCTCATCATATGTATCTCTACCATGAATATATTTTAAATAATTGTTTTAAGGCCTCTGTTTGCTAATTACATCATCTCTGGTATCCTCCGGCTTCTGTGCATGTCTGAAAATTTGTTGCTAGGTGTTGGACAATCTGGTTGAACCCTGCATTTTTTTTTCATTTACAGGATTAGACACTTTTATCTTCCTGCCAGTTAGATCATTTGTGAATCAATTTATTACTTTGGAGTCTTATTTTTTTAATCCATTGTGGAGGAAGCCCAAACAGCCTTAACTCTAGGGTTCCTTTAACCTTCCTACCAACACATTGCCCCTTCGAGGTCTCGGCGGAGAGCCTCACGTAGTCTGCAAGCCTTCTGGGCAACTTGATCGCTAACCAGCTCTATGTAATCTCTGGACCAATTTAACCTATAGCTTCCTGGTAGTTACGATTTCCCTTGAAGTTATTCTTTGCCAGCCCCATGGAGTTTAACTGTCTGTTTTCTAGGCATACTTCCCTTATCCTCTAGGCTCTGGCACATACATTCTAGATACTTTAGTTTCTGTGGACCCTAAAGTTATCCATTCAGTTCAGTGAGACTGCCTAGTTGTTTGATTATCTCCTTTTTTTTTTTTTTAATTTCCCCATAGTCAAGAAGTTACTTCCAGCTGGGATCCAGGAGTCCCTAGAGGATTTATTTCTTTCTGTTTTGGTCAGGGTTATAGTTAGTAATGATTTAATTATTTGTTCCTAACGTGGATAGCTTACAACTATTTCTCCCAAGTTGTTAGCAAACTTGAACACAAATATATGTCTTATAGAGAAAATCGAAGTAAAATCAAATTTGGGAGCTTCTAAGTATATTTTTTTTAAAGCTTCAGTGTATGTAGTTACAAAAGCTTTCAGTATTAACCTTCTTATTTCACCATCTCAGAAAGAGAGGGGACTATACCCAGGGTTTTCATTTAATCCTTTTCTGACTTTAGATCAGCAATGGTATTAGTAAAGATGGGATTTGCTAGAGAGAAATTTTGGTACTTCTCATCAGAGTAGCTGAGTTGATACACAATGAGGTAGGCTATATTTTGTGCCTTCCATGAAAAAAAAAAATGAAAGATGGAGAAAAAACGGAGTCAAAGAAATGGCTTAAAAAGTTACTTTTAAAAAGTGATAATTTAAAATAAAAAGGTCTCAGATATAAGTGGAAATGTCAGAAGCAAAGGAATTCTGGGTCAGAAGAAAGATGAAACCTACATGGGTCTTACTGGCTTTCTATGTTGAATGAAACAGAGGGGAGGTGAGTTACGAACTTATCAAAGTGCTGTTTATGTTTCTATCTCTGAGCCCTGAGATTTAAAAACCATCATTAATCACTGGTGACTTATTATTAAGTCCCAATGTGATCAAGATGCTCAGAAAGAGCCTCATCTCAGCCTTTAATGATGAACTGCAATAAGAAATCCAGCACATGAATTGCACACAGAATCGTGAATAAGGACACCTTGAACTCTTCAATACTTCTCTCAAGCGGATGATACTTTTGCTTTTATTTATCTAGCCCTTTAAGGTATAATTAAAGGGTGAACTTCAGATTGATTGTAGAGAGTATAAATTCAGAATTAAAGTCAGTATTTCACACCAGACTTCAGTAATAGCCTTGAGCAAATATTTCTCTTGAGGTGTGAGTTAAAGAGGCACTTGCTCATAGTGTGGGTTAGCTTATGATTTTCAGGCTTTTGACAAATTGAAAAAGCATCAATATTTTTATCCTGGACAGAGAAACATTGTTTATTTACAGTTTTGCTTTTTTTTTAAATTTTAGAAATAAAAGCCAAGAAATGCGTCATTCTACAAACAAAGAACTGATCCTTGGCATCATGGTGGGAACTGCTGGAATCAGCTTGCTGGCTTTATGGTACCACAAGGTCCGTAAGCCAAGGACAACAATGCACTTGCCTAGATTTCTTTCTCTGGGTAAGAAATTCGATTCACTAACTTGGCAAGATGAAACGCCCAGTGAACAAGGAGCATCCGTGGTCTTTCAGAGAAGGCAACTTCAGATACTGGAAAAGTTAAACGAATTACTGACCAACATGGAAGAACTGAAGGAGGAAATCAGATTCCTTAAAGAAACGATTCCAAAGCTGGAGGAATATCTACAAGATGAACTTGGAGGGAAGGTAGCAGGTCACAAGATCAGTCCTCAGCACAGAGCTAGGAAAAAAAGGCTGACGACGGTTCAACGTGCAGCAACAAGTAATAGTTCAGAGGAAGCAGAAAGTGAAGGAGGGTAAGTGTCCTTGATGCTTCCCGTATCGAACTGGTTATTCCTCACGTTATTGCTGTTGCGTAGATAGCTGCTCACGCATATGCTCTGCTCTGAAAGGACATGAAAGCAATGATTGTTTTGCCTTAGATTATAATTAAAGTATTAAATATTATTGATATTTTAGGTAGCTTAGATCACATTGACAAAAGGGATAGATAGATTGATAGATAGATAGATAGATAGATAGATAGATAGATAGATAGATACATAGAAAATGATATCCTGTTAGAGTTGAGGAAGACAGTCATTATTTTCCAGAATAGCTAACTTATTTTCTAATGTGATTATTAAAAATAACCAGTAGTAAGTGGCATCACGTAAGAGTTGGGGAAGACAATCATCCTTTGCCAACATGGGCAACCTATTTTATAATGTGATCAATGTGCGGTTTTTATATCAAACTCCCTAGACCGGTGTGGTTCAGTAGAACTTGCTGTCATGTTAGAAGGTGACTGTATCTGTGCTGCCCAGCATAGGAGCCACTAGCCTGTGTGACTCTTAAGCACTTCAAATGTGGACTGGTACAGCTGAGGAAAGGAACTTGTAATTTTAACTCATTGTAGTTCTAATCTTATTTCATGTCATTAAATGTACCACGTGGAACTAATAGCTGCTGAACTTTATTGCAGGTCTAGAAAGCTTAGAGGATATAGAAGTGATCCTGTTGCATCCCTACATGGGTTAATATCCTGAATTCTAAGCACAAAGAACAAGTATTCCCTTAGTTGGGAAACCAATAATCTGTGGATTTAAAACATTGGCCCTGGGTGGTGTTTTTGAAGAACGAAACAGCCAGGTTCTTGTCTGTTGTTGTTTAAGGATCTGTACTGAATGTGATAGAGCCTGGCATCCTTGAGGGTGGGGACCTTTTCGTCGTCATGACACCTTACCTCTGTGCTTTCAGAGAGTAGGTGCCAGGAAGAATGTCTTAGCTGAAGTGAGTGAGCTGCACACTGTCTGTGGAATTGGAAGGAGGCATCTGAAGACATCTTAGACATTGGTGCTAGGTCCAGAATTGTCAAGCATCTCTTGGATGTCGGGAGAATGACTATGAAGTTCTTTTGGTAGAGAAAAGCCACAGATGCCGGGGTGAATGACCAGGTCTAAGAACTTGGTGTTCCTGAACAGTAACAAGATGTCCCAGACTAGTTTTAAAATGGGCAGGTGGGATGTTTAGAACGCATCCTAGGTTCATTGGGAAGTGTGAATCAGAAGAGAGACCTGGGAATTTCCATGAGAATGGGTAAGAACAACTAAGTACTCTAATAGTGATCAGAAATCTACCACAGTATGGGGCATCGCTGAGCGGTGCAGAAGACCAACCCGTGGTTATCCTGCCTGCATGGACATCTGTCATCGGGAATCCTGGGTCAGGTTTGAGCAGTCCCTTCCCAGACAGGACACGTTAGAGCTAGAGAGTGTGAGGAGCCCCTGAAGCCTGATGGAGGCGTACAGGCTAAAGTGGTGAGTGGCCTGTATTCTTAAAATCCTCTGTCGAGGAATTTAAGTCTGGTTGCTCAGGAAAGTCTAAAGTTCTAGAAAGAGAAGTAGCCCTTGTTCCGTTTAGGACAGGTAAAAAGATAATTCCAAGATTTAATGAAACTCCAGATATTGGCACAATGAATATGGGTTCAAGGAAGATTTGTGAAAACTATGAATGACGTACCTGGTATGGATGTAGCCAAACTTTAAGACAGAGCCAGTGCCACAGTACCTCTTCTTGCTTGGTCATGGGTGTTTTTGTTAGCAATAACACGCAAGGGTAGATGCAATACTGTCGTCCTACTGACGGACCAGACTGTAGGAAGTGCCACTAAACCAAACAAACAGGAGGAAACCTTTCCTATTTAACACTACTTTAGAGAAGTTTCTTTTTAAGCAGAACAAAAAAAAACCCATTTAATTAACTTATTTTTTAAAGAGATACAAACAGATGTATCATGTCTTTGTGGATAAATACCTGTACACTAGCCACCTCCGTAGGCCGTCTCCCTCCCTTTGAAACTTGGCTGATCTCAACCAGTTTGCCTGCCGCCAGGCCCTCTTTAGCCACCACAAGCATTTCAGAGACCCCAGGAGAAAACCAGTCTAGTAAAGGCATATGCCGGCTAGATGGCGCCAACTCGGGAATAACAAAATGGTGGTGAACGTGGGGCCGCTGACTGGTCCCAGCTTGCGGAGTCTATTGGGGAACCCTTTAACTTGGTGAGCTGAAATACAGACCTTGCTGTTTGGGGCTGTGGGGGTTGTTTGTTGTTTTTTGTTGTTGTTTTTGGTACTTGTATTCTTCCAGTTATTTCCTCCTGTTGACATTCACGTGTAGGCTTCCAGGCAAAGACTCAGATGCAGACTATAACGGTCATCTTGTAACCCTCAAAGTTGTTATAGTTAGAAAATGATTTTTTTTTCAGATCTATTAAAAATGTAGTATTGTAATTGAAATCTTTTCTTTAGGAGACAGCCATTACCTTAGTCTGCATGCAATCTTTGACGGTTTCAGTGTTTCTTCTACATGTATGTGTTCCTATATACAAGGAATAAATGGTGTTTTGTTCCTAAAATGTATAGAAATGACATTATGTGATGTATTGTTTTGGTAGCTGTTTTTGCTTTAATACTTTTTTTTTCTGTTTTGAGGCTTTTCCATGTTGATGCTTGTAAACATGCTTTTTAAATGTGGTACTGCATTCCATTGATGGGATATTTAAGCAATTATCCATATTATTCTATTTAATAAATAAAACTCGAGAATCAGATATCAGGATAGAAATCTGATTGAGCAGAGAAGCTGTGGAGAAGCCACCAGAGACCTCCTCTCTCTCTCTTTCCTTGATCCAAAAGGGCCTAAGCCCCTCCCTACTACTTCCTGTGTCTCTCTATATGTCCTGGGTCCTCCGAAACCTCTATGACTAATTCTGATCGGCTAGTAGTTAGCTCCGCCTTCTGATTCAAGGTCAACTTTATTGGCAGTCTACGGAGTGTCAGAGTGCAATCAAAATATCCCACAGCAGGATATAGATATTCCTTATTAGTGGATGTGTAGGTCACCATTTGTTTGCTCCTATAAACAACACTTCAGTGAATGCCCTCCCCATTCCAAAGGGAAATGTGGAAGAAGTTCTATAAAGCATGCATTTGAAGTGCTGACTTAGAGACTGCATGTATTGCTTATATGCATATTAATAAGTCTTTAAAGTACTTCCCGTTCACAAACCTGACTGTATGAGAATGTTTATTGTCCCATGTTAATTACTTGTAGTGTCGGACTCTTAAATTTTAGGCAAATTGATGAAGATGAAATGTTCACTAATAATTTCCAAATTTGTATTTCCCTGACCATTAGTAACGTTGAGCATAAGACGTTTGCAAATAGATCTTCACTTCCATGAAGCAGGCAGGGAGAAAAAGAGAGGGAGAAGGGAGGGGGCTAGAGAGGAAAAAATATGGGAATACAGCTGAAGTCCCTCTTAGTCTCTGACTGTGTGTCTACTCCGTACCAGGCACTGTTGGCACTCTGGGGGCACAGCTGAGAATGAAACAGTCTTGTAGACCCAACCGCTTTTCCTTACAATGAAGCAGGATGTTGAAGAGGAATGCTCTCCGTCATTATAACCACAGCCCCAGAGGTGAAGAACCACACAAGACCTTTCCAGTGTTTAGCGTCCTGTGCCATCAGGGGCTAGGCCCTCCTGGCAAGGACAAGGACATGCTGGGAGACCGAAGCCATTGCCCATGTGAGCATTTAACTCATTGCAGCTGCGAAAGAAACTGCACAGAGCTGAGAAGTTACTCCACTGTTGACCATCCCACTAATATGCTTGCGAAGCCCAGCTTCTGTAGGAACGAGTGTTGTTGCTCAAGTAGACGGGTGGTGTGAGAAGAGAGAAGAGGGTGGTATGCATAGCCTTCTGGAACCAGTAGGACTGGAGTGGGTGGAGGCAAGCAAGCCTGCAAAGGATGCTGAAAACTGGTCAAACAAGTGTGTGCTGAGTGGGAGAATAAAACCAAACAACCCCACCTCAGAACAAACCGGCAGAGGTCAGAGAAGCCGGGGCAGAATGAGGTTTCCAGAGCAGCAATGAGATCCCATGCTTTCGTCGTTCCGTCCCAAGTATGCATCCAGGCTCAGCTTCGACTGCGTAGATGACGTCAGTTCCCCAAACCCGAATTCTTTTCTTAAAATGTGGTTGAGGCCAGTGAAGTGGCTCAGAGGGTAAGAGCCTTTGCCGCTTTGTATTTCCCTGACAACCCGTGTTCAATTCCTGGAACCCGAGGTGAAAGGAGAGAACTGACTCCCAAACATGGCTTGCACACCCCCACCCCCAGACAAACATACAGTAATAACAAGTGAAATAACTTTCATTAAAATGTGGTTAATAATGGATGTGTCTTGTTGTCTCTAGCCTCAATTGAGATGATATAGGCAGGTGCTTTGCACTCTGTCTAATCCGTCGTGAATTCTGTAAAGTATTATTTTATCAGTTAGAAGGGAAACAGGCCTGAGGATGCAGCTTAATGTTTGGGAACACCTGCCCAGCAATTGCAAGGGCCTGGGTTGGGTCCCTAGCACCATGAAGAAGAGGATTAAATGTATCAAATGCACTAAAATGGGGGCAGGGCATTTTTTTTTTGCAGAGATTTTAGGAATTGAAGACATACAGGATCTGTCTCATCTACCAAGCTCTACCACCGGAGCGTGAAAGTAACTGTAGACAGCGTGGGAGTGGTTGCGACTCAAAACACTTTACAAAAACAGGTGGCGAGTAGATTAAAGATGGTGGGTTCCTTAAGCTATGTTTCCTTCCTGTAACACAATCTGCAGCAAATACAGGTGTCCTGGGGCCCCCTGCATTGCCCCAGGACAGTGGGCCGAGAAGGACCAGCCCAAAGATTCTGGTGATCACACTGCTTGCTGTGTGATGAGTACTATGTCTCTTGTTGCCGACCTGGGAACCCCACAT